GGGAAATTACATAACACACAATATGAAGAGTCAGTGTACAGTACTCACAAACGTAGAAGCCTAAATCCAGTTATTTTTTTCAGGCTTGGAAAATAAAGAAAAAGAATACAGTACTGTACTTCTTGAGAAAGTTTCCTCTTCAGACTCTCTTGAATACACACTCTTAGAGGGATGGAGACTGACTTCATTTTTACACAACAATAATCAATCAGTTCCTGACCAATATTACAATTATTTCTTACTGTGATAGATATAGAGATGAGAAAAGGTTTGAGGTGTGAAAGAGGGTTTGCAAAAAAATTGCAGCTTGTTTTGAATCCATGAAATGCCAACAGTGAAGGTTGTCAACGCGCTGTACAGTATATACATTAGCGTACATCTATTTTTAAAATTTCAGTAGGGATACAAATTGAATAAAATCAATGGCAAATGAACAGAGCTTCTCATTTGTCTTGTTAGTGATGCAACAATGGTTTTGAGTTTTCTGACTCATAAAAACTCTAATATGAATTTTATTGAGTTTTCTGACTCATAAAAACTCTAAGGCATCAATAATCAATCAAATACACTTTTTAATAATTTCTACGCATGATTGGGAGACAAAAAAAACCACAAGAAATGACATGAGGATATACTGTACCATCAACACAATAAGAAACTTGACCAGGATAAATTATTTCTGCCTTTAATCAACAAAACCAGAATAATTATTTACATTTGAACTACAGATCTTTTCAAAACACCCACTAGAAAAATAACTTCTCTTCAGACGATTTTTTCGCAAAATTTGTTCCCCACAAAATGTCTTCATGGGAAATAAAAATAAAAAACGGGGAAAGAAATATGATTCTCCCGCCGGCAGAAACTTTTCCCCTGGCGGAAGACAAATCAACAACCTTTGCAAAGCAGAATATTTCTGTTGGGGTTCGTTGAGGTCGAGGGTGTTTTTGTGAAACTATCTCTTTTTTTTTTTTTTACCCTGAAAGGGTACATGAAATGTTGTCGAACCCCAACCTCAGAATGGTGCCAAAGAGGATTGAGAAGGCTTATGCCCTTTTTGCTTGGTTTTCAACCGCAGTGAACAGAGAAATACTTCTCGGGGTCAGCCCTGAATTTTCTCAGGGTCAACTGTTCCGCAAATCTGGGATGGAAGAAACCAGAAAACGAGCTTCTCTGCCAAGATCCTGAAGGTTCTCGATAAATCAAGATTTTTTTTTTGGGTTTCGATCAGAAGAAGAAACCTAAAAAAATAATCAACTCGAAATCATCTTAAACTCGGACAGATATTTTTGTACCTGACTACGATTTTCTGGGTACAATTTGGGAAGCTTCAGAACTTTGCTACTCGCATTACAATTCTAGTCTCATCATGGTTCACACTCCGGACTTGATTTCGAATGCTATGGACGTTTTAGAACCTGAGAGAACAGCATTCTACTTCACAGCATCTGCACGAATGTTTGTTAAGAAAGCTGTTCTCAGTGATTTCAATTTTCCCGGCTAATAACCTATCGCCTTCAATCCAGTTGTTTATTTTTTTTATCGTATTTCATTTTGATTCTTCCTATATTCCCGCATAATTTTGGAAACAAAAGACACGACAAGCAATCCGGATACAGCAACGCCACAGTCTTTCGAAACCCCTTGGATTACTCTGTGATGACTGATATCCCATGGAGAAAGAGAAGTGATCTGTCTGGATTTGGTGACCGATTTGCTCTAATCCTTCAAGGAGGACTTCTCATCGCTTTACAACAAAATTGTCACAAGTTTTATGTCAGTCGAAACCGCACAGATCTGTCGTGTCGGACTGCCTGCCAGAAATCTTCACCTACTCGTGAGGAATTTTGAGAACTACGATGCATTATTTTCATTTTTTTTAAACACGTTCTGCTCTGAAGTCTACATTCTTGTGTGTCTTTTTTTCTTGTTCAAGGTTGCAGAGCGCCGCCTCTCAGTGATGACGATATTAAAAATTACAACATTCGTTTGGAGTTTGAATCAAAAATCACTCGTCGGAATGTTCCGAGTGATAAAAGCTATTCCTTTGGGACACATGCCACGTATTTGTGTCCTGATGGGCAAGTTTTCCATGGAACCAACAGCAAGATTTTAGTGGTTCAATGCCGCGGACCAATTGGATGGGACAGACCTACTGTGCTGAAATGCGAAAACGAAAGTGAGTTTATGCAGATTAATACTATGATGAAAATATCACAAGATGATATGGAATCCGAATAAAACCCACAGTGACCAAGTCTATTGAAACTACAGCATCCATATTAACTGTTACGACATCAATATATAACAGCACGGACAAGACCGGCAAGTCAATAATTCCATTTTTATGTAATTCATTTCGTTATTTATTCGTATTGCATTTTTTTTAAACGTTTCAGTCGATGAGAGCATACCTCAAAGTGAGATCACGGAAGATGCATCGGTATTTTCGTCATCTTTTGAGGAAATTACGGAAGATACCAAAGTCTTTTCATCATCTTTTGGTGATGTGAGCGATGTGGAAACCGATGGTTTATCCACAGAATACACTCAATCAAATGCATACGAAGTTTCACATACCGGAACATCTGATTTCACTTCTGGTAATGACAGGGATAGTTATCATCTTTTGGTGATGTGAGCGATGTGGAAACCGATGGTTTATCCACAGAATACACTCAATCAAATGCATACGAAGTTTCACATACCGGAACATCTGATTTCACTTCTGGTAATGACAGGGATAGTTTTCTCGGTTATTCTTATTTTATCATTAGTCTAATTTGCATTCAGATGATTTGCCGGAATCAAAATCAACGAATGAGTTGACGGAAGCTGAGGAGACACCGGAAGTGACAACTGAAACTACGCGAACAACCTCATTTTTTACTGACGCAATGTTTAGTCTAATTTGCATTCAGATGATTTGCCGGAATCAAAATCAACGAATGAGTTGACGGAAGCTGAGGAGACACCGGAAGTGACAACTGAAACTACGCGAACAACCTCATTTTTTACTGACGCAATGACAACCACAGTAAGAACTACATTGACAAGTGTAAGAGAACCTGATGGTAAGGCTTCCACGATTTTTATAACAAGTTTAGAAGTGTTATGTCACGAATCTCACGATGCATATCACGCATTAATTTTTCTTTTCCTACTACACAAGCACATGCAGATACTAAAAAAACATATTTTGGTGATTCATCATCAATTCAACAGATTTTGCCAACAGGAAGATTCACCCGGAGGCTGGAAAGTTTGTCGTGAGTCTACAGCTTTCCTAAATGTGTGCTTGCTTCATGAACTTGGTTTTGGCCAATGAAAGCGGATATACGTGGATGAAAAACATTTCTATCGTGATCTTTGGAAAATAGTCGTCACTTTTGAGGTACGTCTGCCATTGTTTGAAGTGAAATTTATCAGTGTACATTTCTATTATAATTTTTTCAAAGTATAGTGACCGAATGATTCGCAGATGTTCGTAGAGAGAACTGTGAAATCCAGATATTATTAGACTAAATTTAGTTGGGATGAAAGGGGAAAAGGTTTTACGCTACTTCCGTATTTGAGTAAAATTAATACTGTAGTTTCTTTTTCTTTGTGTATTTGCATATAAATAAGATACAGTATAAGAAATTTTCAAAAATTAATTTGGCAACATAACTATTGACTTATCTATTACTTTATATGTTCGACTATAGTTCGCTCTTATTCAAAGTAGTTGATAGAACGTTGAGAATGTGCGTTAAAAAAGGTAAAGTACCGTGATTTTGCGTTGAAGAACCTCTGAAGCCCAGTGACAACTGTGAGTACAAGCCATTAAGTCACAGTACGAGACCCACAATAAATGTGAAAATCTTGTAATTTTCAACATATTATAAGTATGCATTATTTGGAAAATTATGCTGGAACACTATAGCTGTGAAAAAAAGTCCTGCCTTGAAATTACCGACTTCAAAAGTGTTTGTCTCCTTGGAAACAAAAGCCAGCAACATTTATACTGTATTCAGCTTTTGTGTCCTGTCCACATGTGAAATGCGAGAATTTTGTGTAATAGTGCACTCAAGAAAAAATATAAAGACCTGAACTATTTCTTAAAATAGTCTGCAAAACGCGTCACTCAAACAGGGATACTCGCAAACATTTTTATGTACAAGCTGTGTTTCTTATTTTTATATTTCAAACATCGCCAAAAAATTTCAGATATACAGTAAATCCACACGCGGAGAAAATCACCATGAAACACATAAGACTCAAAACCGCATGTGCAGAACACAACTCAACGAAGAAAATAAGAAAGAGTCATGAGACTAAAGGTTAATCATCAGATTAGCCCGTGAGTTCAATTTATGAAACTGATTTTGTATTCCTGCATTGGCACATCAATGTTGAAACTAGAAGTTAATCTACATATATAAATTCTTTTTCCATTCTTGTGAAGCAAAAATAGATTCAATTTGTTTTGCTTTTTTCCGGAGTTCTACCGATTAGAACTTAGGAAATCCTTGTCTCTAATGCGTGATTTTAAACGGGTATAAATTTTTTTCATTTGCGCCGTTCATCTCATTGGAAAAAAAAACTTAAACCTACCAAGGAATCTTATCGTTAGTCGATAAGAAACATGCCAATATTCCCTCATTGTCATTTTCGTCCCCATCTGTGAGATTAGTGGCTGGTGTAACACATAGGAATTCGCAAAATTGAAATGTCAAAATTATTCTCCTTCGATTTCCAAGTGCCAAACTCTTGTGATGGAAATTATAAGCCAGAATAATTCGATTATTTCTCCATCTTTTTTATACAAATTTGTTCTGTTTTCATGTTCAAAAACAAGTCACGTGTTTAAATTTCACCAACCAAGTAGCGCGGGAATCAGCCAACTATTCAAGACATTTTTAATTTTTCGACCTTGTATATATAGATGGCTGTTTGATTCAATTAACCGGGTAAGAACTAGTTTTTTGGGCTGGGGGGGGGTTCCAGATCATGATTATGGTGTATACTTTCATGGAAATTTCGTGAAGTTGACAGAAAAAAAACCTTTCAGGCTTATTAAAGATAACCACACAGTCACGCAGAACTAGGTGGTTCCATCGTTGTGTTTGTCCATGGAAGTGCCAGCAATCGACACGCCTGCAGACCTTCAAGCTCGTTTGTCTTCATTTCGTGAGGCCAACTGCTGGAAATATTTCATTTTATTCTATGACGCCAATGCTTTGCTGAATTTCGTGTCTTTTCGAAAGGTGTGTGTCTGGGTTTTCAGCAGTCACGCTTGAAACAAGGTGGAGGACAGGAGTGCATGAGCTGGAAATCGAGTTGATCATGAATGTCGAAAGAGCTTTGCTCTTACCGATTGCTGTCTTGGTTTTTCGCCTATTTCCAGTCAATTCAGGTAAATACAAAATGCCCTAATCAATGCATTGACATTTTCAACTACTGTACTGTGTATAAATGACTCCGGCAACTTTAAAATGTTGCATGTAACATATTATTGAGCTCATAATTCTGTGCCAATAAAATTCTCCATTGAATGACCTCAAGTAAAACGAATACAATATTTGATGTAGCACATAAGAATTTATTGCGGGGTACAGGGAAGTTTTCGGGTACTGTACTTTGAAGTTTGACAAGAAAAGAAAATTATCTTTCTATTAGGATATCCGATACAATTTTCCATCAACGGTAGAAGCTGTGAGTAACTTTTAAGGTAAAAAAATACAGTATATCATTATTTCTAATTCCCATCCAGTATATTCCCCTTGGGCTTTTTTTTGCAATATCGTCTTCTGGGCTTTTCGTTCTTGAATGTATTTCGAATCTTATTGAAATACATCAGGAATTGTCAATGTAAAATTAAATCGAAATAGGTAAAGATCTCGATCGATTTTTTTTATGCGATCAAACATTCAAAGCAAGAATGGATAAGAGGGGACTTAATAAAACGTCGCATGGACACTTTAAAATTTCAAAGGACTATGTGCAAAAGGTATAGTACGTCCGTACTTTATGATAACTTAAAAAATTTTTATACTTAGCTACATTACAATTTTAAATTCCGAGAGCGAATTATTTTCCTACACTTTAGAATCTGATTTCGACCTTCCCGATCCGAACTGGAAGGGGAATCATTATGAAGTGGCAAGATTCTGCTTCAGCAAAGGAATGGGGTTGCCTGACCTCAC